ATCTATTCTTTTTGTGAACGAATCATTCAGAACAGTTTCTGAAACGAATCAACTGATTAATTTAATAGATTTCCAGTGAATAACAACTTCAATTTTAGTCTTTTTCTAACACAAAGCTATGGGATAACTTCAAAAGACTTGAAATAAGAAAGAAAGTCAGGTGAATAAATGATGACAAATTTTTTTATTTTTGGGTTAACCAGCTTTTAAGGGTTTGTGGATTTGTTGAATTATTTCACAGTCCATATTTTCAGACCTGAAGCTATTTTAACAAGCCATATCACTGATCTGTTCAAATCACTAAATGAAGTGCTAGCTCAAGGAATACCAGATCTGGTACCAGAAACGTAACTTCACTGCTATGAACTCGTGGAGCGCTGCCAATCACGAGCAGAAGTGTCCCTACCGGTCTCATTTTCACCCTTCACCAGGCGGGGCAGACAGACACCTAGATACGCTCTCAGTAACTGCCCCCGGGGGCAGATTTTACACTGATCCAACATGAATCAGGCAAAGCGGGCAGAGCAGCCGTTTTCAGACCGTGACAGAGAGTCTGCGGCCGGAGTGGACAGAGACACCGAGCACACAGCATGACATGCAGACAGTCAGAGCACGTACAGAAATATTAGAAGTTAACAAATTGGCCTGGGCGGCAGGGAAGGGAGGGGGCCGGTGGTGGGCGCAGGCCGGGGAGACTGACAGCGCATGTAAAATTCATAGTGTCCCTTGGGCTCCGAGGTAATACTTCACCACTGAGGGACGTTAGCGAGAAATAGGCACCCTGCTATTAAATGGTTGTTGATGCTATGGCTTAAACTTTAATGGACTGCTCTTGTGCTCGTCATGTAATGTATACACTCTGTTGTGACTTATCCACATCTTGGGGCTGGGTTTTAAATATGGCTGCTAAGAAAGCAAGCTGTAGAAGTAATCACCATATTAGAGGGCTTGCAATAAGCTCCACAGGGGGTGAAGACAGCTATGGTGAGCACACACAAAAAAAAGTGAATCCCCAAAGTAAAAAAAAAAAGTGTTGGACTTACTTCCAAGTCATTGAAGAAGAAATGTGTGTCAGCCAAGTTGAAGATCATCTCTTCCATTCTTAGTCCCAATGACACTGACGTTGGTGGATCCTGATAAACACACACACACACACACACACACACACACACACACACACAAAACAGATCTAAAATCGTAAATTTTTCCATGTTTACTTTAGACAATTTATATTTAATTAAAACACATTTAATAAAATGCTGTATATTGTTAAATATGTTATAATAAAATGTTAAATATTATATATATATATGCACATTACACATTATATATATATATATATATATACAATGCACATTATATATACATGCACATATATATATGCACATTCTCCAACACAAAACGACTTTAGCAAGTGATGTTTCAACCTGTGCACTGGCAGTAATCAAAATAAATCATTCATTTTTCCATGTTTACTTTAGACAATTTATATTTAATTAAAAAAAGTAATAAAATGTTGTATATTGTTAAATATGTTATAATAAAATGTTAAATATTATATATATGTGCACATTACACATTATATATATATATATATATACAATGCACATTATATATACGTGCACATATATATATGCACATTCTCCAACACAAAACAGCTTTAGCAAGTGATGTTTAAACCTGTGCACTGGCAGTAATGAAAATGGATTACTCACTTAAAAAATAATGGACTCTTTTTTAAAAATGTATTCAAAGTATTCTATATATATATATATATAGCATATATATAGAAATATATATGATATTTTTTCCATAATTACTTTGGGTAATATATACATAGATATTCATATGGCTTTAATGGATAGATAGATAGATAGATAGATAGATAAATAGATATAGACAGACAGACAGAACATAACACATCTTTTAGAATAAAATATATTATAAAACAGACCTCTACCTAAGCCAATTCTACAAGGTTTAAGAATTAAGAGTTTCATTTTTGTCTAAAAAAATCAGGGCTTAATTTTACACTCTGTAGGCAGTAAAGCCCAATCTTAGATGCGTTATGAGTTGAAATGAGCTTGAGGTCAAAGTGTCATCATAAATATATCACTGTCCACATACCTCAGAGCCTAGATCATCTTTCTACACATTACTACTGATGCATTTCACCCTCATTTCCCGCAAACAATCTTCTCACATCAGATAAAGCGTTTTCCAACTATACAGACAGACAGAACATAACACATCTTTTAGAATAAAATATATTATAAAACAGACCTCTACCTAAGCCAATTCTACAAGGTTTAAGAATTAAGAGTTTCATTTTTGTCTAAAAAAAGAATCAGGGCTTAATTTTACACTCTGTAGGCAGTAAAACCCAATCTTAGATGCGTTATGAGTTGAAATGAGCTTGAGGTCAAAGTGTCATCATAAATATATCACTGTCCACATACCTCAGAGCCTAGATCATCTTTCTACACATTACTACTGATGCATTTCACCCTCATTTCCCGCAAACAATCTTCTCACATCAGATAAAGCGTTTTCCAACTATTTGTGAAAGGCTGAAGTTGGGAATTTAATAGAAACTTCTAGAAACAGGAAGATGCACATTTTCCAACACAAAACAGCTTTAGCAAGTGATGTTTAAACCTGTGCACTGGCAGTAATCAAAATATATTACTCACTTAAAATATAATGGACTCTTTTTTTTAAAATGTATTCAAAGTATTCAGTTTCCACGGTAATGCAATACTGGCAGTAATGGCGATCTCGTGTTGTGTTTGAGCAGACACAAAGATGGGAGCGACTGCTCTCTAAATTGTTAATGAATAATTTGCAGTGTGTTTTTCTCTTTAATACCTCATTAAGAAAGCTCATTACAAAATTACACCTTTCATGATTACAAACTTGTCTTTGCACATATATATTGTCGATTTTCTCATCTCAATTGAACCACGACTATTTAGGAGTCAGTGTATTTAAAGTGACAGTTCACAGCGTTGAAACAAAGAAACACTGTAGTACGAGCTTAAAACAAGGCCACGGGGTTTATTAAATGGATATTTAGACCAGTATTCAATTTAAAATCATTTTTGTAATCTTCATTCCCCACAGGCTTATTTTTTGAATCAGTGGCTGCTCTCTCGTTGTTCATTAAGAGGATAAAGCAAGTGTGCAAATGAGAGAGGAAAGCAAAGGAGGGGATTTATTCCAGTGTCTGTACAGCCGTGCTGAGTCAGAGAGCTCTGCTGCAGGGATTAGAGCTTAAAGCCACCTGAAGAAACGCCTGAGCTTTCTACTGATTACATGTCACACTCAACAATGAAAATGTTTTAACTGTGGACAGCGGGAGGGGAAACCACACAAGAAGGACAGAACACCAGCAAAGACACTGATGAGGTTTTTAGCTTGATGTTCACACACTGCGTATAATCTACAAATTAGTATACTGATGATGGTACACAGATATTTTTTTCCATTCATAGACAGTACAGTCTCTTTTGCTCAGCAAAGCTGAAAATACAGTAAAAGTACTGTAATACTGTGAAATATTATAACAATTTATCTGTTTTCTATTTAAATATATTTTAAAATGTAATTTATTCTTGTAGTGGCAAAGCTGATTTTTCAGCATCATTACTCCAGTCTTAAAGTCACATGATCCTCCAGAAATCATTCTAATGTGCTGATTTGGTGCCAAGAAACATTTCTTATCATCAATGTTGAAAATAGTTTTGCTGCTTAATATATTTGCAGAAACCATGAAACTTTTTAACATTATATATGACATTATATATGTATTTACTGTCACTTTTACTAAATTTAATACACCCTTGCTGAATGAATGTATTAGTTTCTTTAAAGGTGACATATTATGCCCCATTTCACAATATGTAATATAAGTCTCTGGTGTCCCCAGAATGTGTCTGTGAAGTTTCCACTCAAAATACTCCACAGATCATTTATTATATCATTTTGAAATTACCTATTTTGAGTGGAAGCAGAAACAAGCTGTTTTTCGGGCCTGTGTCTTTAAATGCAAATGACAGATTAAGGGGTGGTAATATTATAATGAGATCCCTTTGCCACGTCACCAAGTGAGCAAAATCAAACGCGCTCGTTTTCTCAGACGCTTGCAGAAAAAGGCTTACCTAAACAAAGTGATTGGGTTAATCTTTTTCACGTTTCCTTGGTTGGTAGATGCACCAGGGACCTGATTATAGCACTTAAAACCTGGAAAAGTCAGATTTTCATGATATGTCACCTTTCAAAAAAATCTTACTGATCCCAAACTTTTGAACGTTTGTGTACATGAAATTAAAGCATTTAACCCACATGTTCTATTGAGATTGACATTCAGAGACTCTAATTATGTATGTGTAAAAGTAATAAGCGCAAATGTAAAATTAAACCTCTAATTCTGCCATCAAATTCTTGTAATACTGAATGGTCCTCTGACCAATCAAAATTTTTAAGTGTGAAATGTCAATTTTTTTATATTATAATAACAGCTGGAACTCCAGATTTGGGTTTGTTGACCTCACACACACACACACACACACACAAAAGTAATTAAAACAAAAGAAATTGGCAGGCACACACTTCTACATATTTTTTTTGCATGTGAAAATCCATTGCAATTATTCTTTGTTTATATCTGAGGTCTCTGAGACCCCAAACTAAAATAATATATTTCACGGCGGTCGTTGGATGCATGCTAGCAAGTTAAAATTATGTTTAGAATCAGTTCTCATGAGTGCAGGAAGTCATCAACCTGATACCTCAATGTTAAGTATGTTTTCTGAGCTATTAAAAGAGTCAAGGAGTCTCTCAGACTGAGAATAAGAACATGAGGGTTAATGAAAAAAGTGATCAATAATTTCACCGTTTATATACACTACTGAGTTGTTCTCATGTTCCTTTTAATTATAAAAGTTATATAAGAAGCTTTTAAATATATAGCCTAATCAAAAATAGGTTATTTTTTTGTGAATCACTTCTCCAACACGTCTGAATAGTCCTCCCCTCCCATCTATTTTGAGCCTGCCAGTCAGTGGACTTAATATAAACACCTGCGTATGTATCTGACAGTTAATAAAAGCAGGTTTGGTGGTGAGAGGTATGCAAAGTGCACTTCTCTGACTCGACGAATCCTCTCCAATTAAATCTAAACAATCATTCAGCGGGAGAGTTAAGAATACAAGCAGGCCGGAGTGCCAGAGGGTCTTCTGCTCTCGCTGCCACCTGTCCCCAAACATCAGCGCCACCCGAAGGGCGCCAAGTCCTCCCCTCCGAAACCCCCTCACCCCGCAAGCTTTCCCTCCAGGGCTGACGGCCACACAGCTGGCCCGAACCATCAGCTTTATGGGAGCGAACTGCCCTTATGCCAATTAGGATAACTGATAACCACAGCAGTGAGCTCTCCAAACGGCTCTATTTATAGAGCTCTTCCTCAACGGTTTCGCTAGTAGAAATGCATTTTGCTTGGTTTTCTTATTGTTTATGTCATCTACGCCTCATATCGGAGAAACGTGAAGCACCTTGGTTTTTAATGTAAGGGTTTGAGATGAGTGTGCTGATATGATTTAAGAGAGCATTATGCGGTTTGCGATGTTGCAGAGTAGATGGGATAAGCACATTTCTGGTGGAAGGGCAACGTGTAATCAGATTTCAACAGCAGAGAGGAGAACAAAGAACGATTTGGCACTTAAGAAACATTGCTTATTATTTTAAGTGTTGAAAACACTTGTGCAGCTTAATATTTTGTGGAAAGCGTGATACTTTTTTTTCAGAATTATTTCATTCTAATATGCTGATCTGGTGCTCAAGAAACATTTCTTATTATTTTCAATGTTGAAAACCGTTGTGCTGCTTAATATTTTTTTGGGGAAACTTTCTTTTTTCAGGATTCTTTGGTGAATAGAAAGTTCAAAAGAACAGCATTTATTTAAACTGTAAATCTTTTGTAACATTATAAATATCTTTACTGTCACTTCTGATCAGTTTAATGTCTCCTCGCTGAATAAAAGTATTAATTTCTTTCCAAAAACCATGTATAATAACAGACATTTGAAATTAATCTATCTAATTCATTTCTAATCCCTCTAATTCTCCCATTAAATTCTTGAAGTATGTTCCTCTGACCAATTAAAACCCAGTAGACAGAAATTATTAAGTGTGAAACATGACTTTTCTATATTATAGTAACAACTGAAACTTCAGATTGGCTTCTGTTTGACCCTAAAAGGAAAGACACACACACACTTATAAATGAAGATTGTTAGGAAAAAAGGACCTTAAAATCAGACGGCTCAGTGTGTGTGTGTGTGAGAGAGAGAGAGTGGACACAGTTGAGGTGCTCTCAGAGTTTTGCTTCTTTACCCAGCATGCTCAGCCGAGATAAAGTAAATAAACAGCGCAGGGTCGAGGGCCAGGGCTCCCTCACCCTTAAAACAAAACACCACCCCCATCAAACACCCTGCCTGAGGAACAAAGAGAACAAACCAGCTGCCGGGCCCCGTTCCACTGACATCCGAGCGCTGCTGTCATCTACACTCACCACAAAGGGAAAAAACCTTCAAGAAGCTCTGCCAAAAAATGGCAAGTCTGTGATTTATTCCCTCAAACAAGGAAGCAGCTTTCTACATTCTTCAGACACAAAGAGGGTTCAAAAACACATGCATGTTGAACTCAGATTTAGGGCTGTTTTGTGAAATTATAATTTGGTGAATTGAACGAACAGTCATGGAAGTTAAATAAAGCCATGAGATCACTGACGCAGCCTGAGAATTGTAGATCACCGTATTTCCCAAATTGTTTGTTTTGAGAGTTCAAATATAGCTTATGATGGTTTATATAAAATAACAAATACAACAACCGCAGAAGTAAATTGGTTCTTATTGCATGTTCATAAACCCTTTGAACCCGTTAAATTTGGCATTATGCTTTAATAAAATTATCATATAAATAAAGGTAAAATATATTCACCCTCACACAAAAATATAATCTAGACATATTATATGCAATACTCAAACATTTGGGGACAGCAAGAAGTACTTTTTTTTTTATTCAGCGAGCATGCATTAAATGTATGAAAAGTGAAAGTAAGTATGTTACAAAAGATTTTATTTCAAATAAATGCTGTTCTTTTAAAGTTTCTATGAATCTAAGAACTCTAAAAAACATGTATCATGGTTGCCACAAAATATTAAGCAGCACAACTGTTTTCATCATTGATGATAATAATTTTTTGTTTTGTTTTGTTTTCCAGCAAATGAGCCTATTAAAATGATTTCTGAAGGATCACGTGACACTGAAGACTGGAGTAATGATGCTGAAAATGCAGCTTTGCCGTCACAGGAATAAATTACATTTTAAAATATTATTAATTATTATTAATAATATTTAATATTATTTTAAATTGTAGTAATATTTCACAATATTATGTTTTACTGTATTTTTGATCAAATAAATGCAGATGTCTTTCAAAAAATATATATAGGGACTCTTTGCCTTTATTTATAAGGTAGTGTATATACAGTGGGTACGGAAAGTATTCAGACCCCCTTAAATTTTTCACTCTTTGTTATATTGCAGCCATAAATATATACTCTAAAACTAAAGAAAATGTTTCTCAAGTTTCATCAACTGCAATGCAATAATACATTAACCTCACTGAAAGGGCAGTTAAGGCAAACACTTAATTAAACTTAACAATGAACCATTTCTGAAGGACAAAAAAACCCTTAAGAAGTGTCAATGGACATTCTCGGTGCAACTGGTTTGTAATCCATGCCTGTTCCAGCCACATAACTCAGACAGCTGCAGGCCGAGCTCAATGCCTGCAAGGCCTCGACGATCTTATTAAAATAAGAAACAATTACACTGAACTCTGAGTTCCTCGAAGCGGGACGGTGTACCCAAACAGACCCTCTTTCTGTGTATTTTCCTAAACTTTGCCGCCATATTTGCCTGTGTTTGCATTTAAAATGCATCACTTACCCTTCCGAATCTGTTGGCGTAAGATCCCGTGAGCAAGGAATGGAAAACGATGATTGTTTCATCCAAGTCCCAAATGAACACGCGCTGAGAAAAGAAAGAGCAAAATCAATGGCTCACTCAGCATGCAAGATGATCTGATTGTCAATAAGAAGGGTGCATAGATTCATGCGCCCTGGGATCAGTAGATATACAGCACTGATGGTCACCATAGCACCCTGCAACTGCGGGAAGAACCACCACTGGACAATCCATCTCCTGCCCCCAATGCATTAACACAATCGATACCAACAAACTAATTAACTAGATTTGTTAACATGCTATGATGACAGCATGCTTACATGCACAACAGTATGCATACAATTTTTGGAAATCTGCTTTTCACAAAACGTAACAATGCAAGAAAACAATTTACAAGAGATTTGAAATGATCTGTTTTCTTTTTTTTTTTTCAGTCTTCCTGTCAAAACATGTGACATGCACACAAAATAAACAGACAGAATGCCGATTTAGGCTTTTGCATGCTAAGCGTGCAAAACATGCAAAACAAAGCTTTCACCAAAAAAAGCATTTACATGTTGTAACATGTAAAACTGAGCATGGAAACGTACTCAGTGTCACTCTTTAAACATGTCAATGCATTGTTTTGAAGGTAAAGCAGTGAGCAGAACGAACACTTCTAGATAATCAAAAGTATCTTAATAGTAATTAATCTATTGCTGCCGTTCCAGCCAGATACATTGACAGAGCGGCAGCGGTCCAATACCTCAAGGTCAGAGTCGGGAGGTGGGGATGGGTTATTGTTCCTCCTTCCCCGGCCACGTGACTTTCCATCTGGCACTGATGGTCACCATAGCACCCTGCAACTGCGGGAAGAACCACCACTGGACAATCCATCTCCTGCCCCCAATGCATTAACACAATCGATACCAACAAACTAATTAACTAGATTTGTTAACATGCTATGATGACAGCATGCTAATGGGGCCAAAACCTTCCAGAGATTCAGGTCATGTTAATGAAAAGACCATGAACTGTACATCTCAAATATGACCGAGATATAAATATAATTCTACATTGAAAATTTGGTGTAGAAACAATTTTCAAACAATTCTTCACCAAACTGAATTTTTATATATATATATATATATATATATATTTTTTTTTTTTGGAAATCTGCTTTTCACAAAACGTAACAATGCAAGAAAACAATTTACAAGAGATTTGAAATGATCTGTTTTCTTTTTTTTTTTTCAGTCTTCCTGTCAAAACATGTGACATGCACACAAAATAAACAGACAGAATGCCGATTTAGGCTTTTGCATGCTAAGCGTGCAAAACATGCAAAACAAAGCTTTCACCAAAAAAAGCATTTACATGTTGTAACATGTAAAACTGAGCATGGAAACGTACTCAGTGTCACTCTTTAAACATGTCAATGCATTGTTTTGAAGGTAAAGCAGTGAGCAGAACGAACACTTCTAGATAATCAAAAGTATCTTAATAGTAATTAATCTATTGCTGCCGTTCCAGCCAGATACATTGACAGAGCGGCAGCGGTCCAATACCTCAAGGTCAGAGTCGGGAGGTGGGGATGGGTTATTGTTCCTCCTTCCCCGGCCACGTGACTTTCCATCTGAAGCCCGACGCAATCGATCTGAATCTGAATCTTTAATGGGGGTTGATGGACTGTGGATTGTACTGTACTCTCCTGCAGGAAAAAAGTAAGGCAAAAAAGTATATCAAAAGAGGAAAATAAAAAAGGCTTTCACCTTCACATTGTGGCTGGATCCGTTTACCTCATCTAGTGTTCAGTGCTGTAGCTGCTGCCCACAAGCTCTAATATCATGCTGTTTATCTGATCTCCTTATACCCTAGATACCATTTAAGTTTTAGTAATGGCAATGAGGGTGTTATGCACTATACCATCCTTCCCTAATTACACAACAAGGCAAATGTAAGAAAAGTTTGAGTCATTGGGGGAGCAAAAATAGACTAAATAACTGGCAATATTCTATCAAATATGATGATGTCAACTTCTTGTTTATAGAACTAAGCAATATCAATTTTGGCTGATGCAGATACGATATTAATATTCTAAACTTTTTTTTGAAGTTTGAAAAAAAAATACTTTACATGCTCAAAGTGAATTTAAGCATCACTATAATGCATATACAACATTATGCACTGAAGTTGGTCTTTGAAAATGCTAATAAAAATCTTAGAAATTATATAGATAATTTTATACATTTTTATTTTTTTTAAACAAATTATTATAATATAAATAATAAATATACATTATATAAATATATAATTATTTTGAAAATTGCTTTTTCAGTTCATTTTTAATAAATTAATAATTAAAAAAATACTTTAAAATTTAAAAATACTATAAAATACTTTTATAAAATATAAATATTTAAATCTATTTATATAATTTACGAGTTTTTTCTTATAATATTTAAAGATGAACTTTGAGCGAGTGTTAGATGACAGCAAAATAATCGAAATTTAAAGAATACTGGAAATTATGCACAATCAACTGATATTTCTAAAAATAATTCTCTAATCAGTCCGATAACCAATATGTTACCAATATATTGTATTGAATCCCCAAAAAATGTACTGGAAATTTTATTTTCAATACTGTTTATGGACATTCCCTTTAATCCTAAAACATAACACACTGCAATGAGTAATTCAAAATACTGGCAAAAAAAAAAAAAAGAAAAAAGAATCATTACAGAAAATTGCACATTGGGACTTTTTCGAGTGCACCAGCAGGGTTTAGTATTGCAAAATTAGCCAATCACGTCTCATCTTTGCAGCAGCTTGTAGTATTAGTATTCCCCGCCCCCCAAACCGAGCTTTCTTACCTGCCGGTTGCTCTGAGAGGGGCTGGCTGGTGATCCCTGATGGAGGGTCCTGTAAAGTGTAGGTGGCAGTGGTGGAGGGTGTGGTGGGGCTGGTGTTGTTACTGGTCATGTATGGAGAAGTGTAAGGGCTACTGTTGTAATACTGCGCATACTGACTCTGTCCAAAAGCTGGGTAGGAGGGGTAGTCCTGCAGAAAGACATCAAGGCGGTAATGTGAGATAGCCGCACGCTGCTACTTTACAGCGCAGATTCCAAAAAACGTAAATGTGAACATATGTCTCCTGAGTGCTACATCTGGACAGCGATCTGTCTTCACTCTTTTTTCCTCCACTCGTGGCATAATTCATGCGCGCAAAGAGCAAGAAGGTAATCCTTGCGTACAGTGGTCGAGACATTTAGAGTGATTCATATCATGTGAGTAATATGCGAGCGTACACATGTTCTATAAAGGCTTACAGGAGGAAGGAAAAAAAAATACTGGGCGCATGTGCCAGATAGAGGAAATGTGATTTCAACAGACTAGATAGTGAAGGACAGAAATTCAATTACAGCTACCTGTTGTGTGCTATTGAATCCAGTTGAGTTTGTGAGGGAATTGCTTCCAGCGTACAGCCCTGAAGTTGTTGTAAAACTGCCTCCTATGAGAGAAAGAGACATAATGGTGAGTTATCGCAATGCAAAACAGAAAGATCAAATCAAATGAGGCTTTGTTTGCAACTGATGTAATTCTGAGGATGATAAGCGTAATATAACCTTCAAAATAAATGACATTTTTAAATTGTAGATGGGGGTCGAGTCAAGCAAGACCTAAACCATCTCAAAGGCATTTACGACAAAGCCTTGCAGGTACTATAGGGGCATGAGGGATTGAGTGTGTGTGTGTGTGTGTGTGTGTGTGTGTGTGTGTGCGTTGGTGGGTGGGTGGGAAATAACCGTGGCTTTATCTTTTCTTTCTCCATATCAGTGATTGGATCTTGGACGATGGTCGGAAAGAAAGAGGAAAGGGGGTTGGGTCTATTATTTCATCCATCGCTACCTTTACAATGACAGACACAGTGCCACTGTTGTGAATGAGGGGGAGGGAGAGGGCGGGAGTTTTACCTGACATCATGCCTCGATGAATATGCATATCTGTCTTCTTTTCAAGCTGCTTAAAGAAGCACCTTCTGGGTAATTAAATCTCTCTATGGAGAGATAGCATCTAATGACTTAATAACATACATGACATGAGTTATAGGGGCGAGACAGCCTGGAGGTACGCTGCGTTTCGAGGTGCTTCTTGGAGTCACAGTGCTCAAATCACATTGGAATTCTCGAGCGGACTGAAAAACTGGTGTAGAAGAATATTCTGGGTGCAGTACAAGTTGAGGTCAATCGACAGAAATTTACTTCGACTTGCCCTTCCTTTTCTTAAAAAAAGAGCAAAAGTCTGGTTACAGTGAGGCGCATACAATGGAAGTAAATGGGGTCAATCTGTATAGATTAAAATACTCACTTTCCCAGTAGCACAGCCAAAAGACATAAACAATATGATAAAATTGTATATTATCAGTTTTCATTTTAGTTGAAGTTCTAGTATTTTTTTGTGATGTGCTTTTGTCATTTATTATATGTTTATTTGTATTTATTATATAATATTTGTAATATTTTATTTAGCTTTAATTTACATGTATTATTAATTTATATTTATTAATGTATTATTTATATTTACCTTTTAGTAATTTTAGTATTTCAAATTAAACTATATTTATATCAGCTAGTTGCCAAAGCAAAAATTCTAATTTTAAAATATTTTTAAACTTTAGTTTTTCATCTAATATCTAATATCTAATATATATATATATATATATATATGTATTTCATGATTATTTCAATTAAGAAAACATTTAATAGTGTCTTTTTTAACTATTAATTTTTAATTGTGTTTTTTTAATTGTGTTAGTTTCAGTTTTAGTTAACTATAACAACACAGCCGTAGAAATGACTGAACAGCTGAAATAATAAATACATTTCAATAGAAAAATTAATACAAGTACTTTTATAAACTTTAAAGCTTCATCATTTAAATCCTCAAAAAATTTACCCCATTCATTTCCGTTGTAAGTGTCTCAACGTAACCTCGATTTTTGCTTTTTTAATCAAAATGAGGGATGAGTCAAAACTACTTTTAGTGGTAATCGACATTATGCCACAAATGCTGTAGATTGATATTAACGTACTGAATACAGAATATTCACATTTTCCCAGAAGTTTTCTTACACTAACACAACCAGGCAATAAACTAATAAACAGCTGTAATACTAGCTGCTAAAAGTTCTGGGTAACCTTGGAATCATCAATCTCTATACAGCACTCTCAACATGAAATGGGCACAAAATGAACTCAACGTGTTTAAATAAAAGGGTATCTGGACATTTGTTCAGCAAAAAACAGAAGCTGGTGTCATCATCTGGTGTTCAAGAAAATGAGGCCCCTCAGACTGTAACAAACACACAACAGCTTTACTTGTGGACTACTATCTGGCTCAACAAGCAAGGTTGCTTCTTTTTCTTGTTTTTAAAGAACAGCAAGAGGTGCTCTAAAAGCTGTTGACTTCCTCCCCAGACTTGGGCCGTCACATAAAGTGAGACACAAGAATCTCCCAATGCACAACAAATTAGCTAAATCCACAGTTCAAAAAGTCATAAAAGCCAGGACTCGTAGGAAAGCAGTTGACTCCAGAGAGAGTCCGGAGCCACATAAAAGCCAAGCAAGACCCCCTCCGGTCCCAAAAGAATGACTCCATGCTGGGGAGAGGCCTGTTTTTTTCCCAGGGGCAAAAACTCCCCCATTCCTCCCCCTCTCCACTCTGTCTTGCTCCAGTTAGTTCACTCAAGACGCGACACTGGCTCTCCTTATGGCCTCTCCAATTGGGAGTCCATTTGCTGTGCTTGATCAGTCCTCTTGCCATGGGCTATGTCTATCATCAGTGCACAATATTTGTAACAGAAGTTTTGTAGGCCTCTCTAGGGAGCAAGTGATCAAGTCCAGATGGGCTTCTTTAAAAAGCAGTCTGCTGCTCCTCTCACACGGTGTGCAGAATGGAGGGAGGACCAATTGTTGCTGTAATTATCATCTACTTTGAGAGAAAATCAGTGAGAAAAGCCGCTCTCTTGCTCTTCTCGTGCTTTAGAGCCATTATGGTTATGGAAAAGGAAGGAAAGCTCAAACAGGTGTGAAACTGGAAAATTAATTCCTAATTTATATTTGGATGTACTGAGTAAAATCAAGACGCCATCAAGAAGTCTTATAATTCGTTGGAATAGAGCGATTCAAATCTCTGCTAAATGAAAGAAAATGATCTCTTGATTAATTTGAGCTCATGATAGATAGATAGATAGATAGATAGATAGATAGATAGATCAACATATTAGTATTTTTTTTACAATTTCTATATAATTGAACAAAGCCTGATCACTACTCCGAATTTTGATATGAAATAACATCAGTTAACATTCTCATATTCTCTCACTATTTTGTTAAATTTATAACCTGACAATCTGTGATGACATTTTAAGCCAGGAAAGTCCTTCTGCGTTACATTTCTGGATCATGATCAGAGAAAGCAAGTGCTGTTCCATTAGACATGAAAAAGCAGGGTAAAAATTTTAATTTAATTGTATTCCCTCTGACAGCTGGGTGCAGGCTCGTTCTACTAGGGTTATGGGACAGCAGTTGGTATCATATAGATGGGGGGGGTCTACATTTGGCTACCATGTTGAGTCCAGACCTGCCTAATCGATGAGGCACCGTGAGGAAGCCAATAGAGACAGACTGGCCTGGTTAATGGTCATCTGTCATCTGCTCTTGCAGTTAGTGGCTAATGTGTTTATTGCTGCGTTGGCCTTGAAAAGAAGTCTGAAGGCACCTCAGTTTCTGGCTTACAACAAACTCAATGCAGTGTCATTGTGAGATGACAGCAAAAGAGATAATTCACTAAAAGGACAAAATTCATAGCAAAATCTTAAAATGAAACAAAATATCCTACTGTGATTAGCATATGAGTTTGTACTGTATCATCTGGAGGCTAAACTAGGTCCTTTAGGTGTAAAAATGGACTAAAATTACTAAAATTTGGCATCAGACACCATTGAACAGACTGGATGCATACTTTGTGTTCTATACTTTCATGACATTTAGTTTCATTGGACTTGAACGGCGTGAACAGGCCTTTAAACTTCTGCAGAAGCAGAAAGTTTCTACTTATGAGGCATGGAAAAGAAGCTTCAACAGACCACATGTGTCATATTATCAGCGTTCAAAAATGTGGAGATGTTTCTACTGTCACACATTATTTGGAGATTAGAGAGCTCAAACCAGTGCTAACTGTTGGAGGCTCGAAGGAAAACACTAGAGGAAGAAAGATGGGAGAAAAAGGACGGCAGAAAAAAACTGTTGGTTTTGGAGTTGGGGCAATGTCTCTGAAAAGGGATAAAAAAACACTGGGTGGCAGAGAGTTTGCCTGATGCACGTTTAATTCCCAGTACGCAAGTGTGACTTCCATGAACTGACCTCAAAGACGAGAGTCACGGGTGTTCCTTCTAAAGCAAACATACTTAAGAACGTACATGGTCGAGCTCAAAGGAGAAAAAGGCTGGTCTTAAAGAGGAAAAGGGGATTTTTTCCATCTGTGTTGGTTCTCTTCAGGCCTAATTCAAAAAAGACTGTGTCTGACTACAACCCAATACAACCATCAGCTCGGGGATGTTATGAATTGGTCCGTGTCTGCCATTAATTGTGTCCTCTTTTGAAGGGGGCCTGAGAGGAATCACGGCTCTATTTTGTCACCCCACCGGGAAGAGCAGAAGAGGAAAAGAGTAGAGGGTGATCCTTTGTAAGAGAAAGGGAGACATGTATTTTTATCCAAAAGCCCATATCGTAAAATTTGCTCAAAGACAAATTCTCTGTGATTCTGCTACTTAATCATAAATATTTGGCCAAGCTGTGAAACGGAGAAAAATCTAGCCATTAAGCAGCTGATATACATTGCGAAAGAAAAATAAATCACGAGGGTAATTTTTGCAAGATAATAATTACAACAGATTTTGGAGTGCGCAAGCTGCAGACATCAATGAAAACAATACAGCCGGAGAGTCCAGAATCTGGCAGAAGGATCGAATTAAAGGCCCAAATGAAGTTGGATGCTGCTTATTTTTTAAAGAAAAATAAAAGAAGCCTTACTTGGAAGGGTAAATCTGGGGAGAGAACTGGTGAGTTTGTCTTGGGCTGAAGCCACTGGTTCCAATGGCTGTGGAGAGTTAAAAAGAAAAGAGGCAAGCACATATTCAAACATTAAAAAATAAGGTAAATATTATTCTTTGCCAACAGAACTTCTGGAATCCAAGGTTTTGATTAGATTGAATCAGGCCCAATGCAGGTTTGCGATTTGCTTCCACTCAAACAAACATGTGAACTCTCGGGAGCTTATTCAAGATTGTTCTACCTAAACAACATTATCTGTGTGCATATTTTCGCAAAGGTTTCATAACGTTCAAACCCTTGGAAAAACATTTCTAGCTTGAGTTGGGCTCTCACGAAACAGTAATTACATTGCATTACACTATTTATTTCACTAACCTTATTTTAGGTTGAAAAATTAAGAGCAATAACGAAGGAAAATAATCAGGTAATATGGGAGCGTTTTCTGCTGACTATACATAAAAACCTACACAGGATGGAAAGGCCTAGTGTCCACAAACACACACACACACACACACACGGAGCTGGGAATGATGTATGGTCGCGCACACTGGAGGGTTTAAAGTGGACGGTACAATGAGAAATCAGCGGGCCTGATTACAGGTAAGTAGTACACATAAGGAGCCTTCATTAGACACATACCGGCCCTGTGCTTGGAAAAACATTTCTAGCTTGAGTTGGGCTCTCACAGTGTGTAGACGAGGAACTGAAATCTTTATGTCTCCCTACTCTGTCGAACTAGCAAAAAATTAGTAACTGTCTGAGGGAGACACTGAGTCTGCAAATGCAAAACAAAAGGTCAGCAGAGTCCCAAGTTTCGATTGAAGGTGGGAAAGGAGCTACTAAGGGCTGAGGTAAGCGTTAGCCTAATCTTAGTGATCAGCACATTGTTAGCTACGTTTCGGAATTAATCTTAAAGCTACATGCTAAGTATGAGACAAAACGCTACAAATGCTAAATGCTAAAGTTAATCTGCATCTCATTTGATGACTTTCAATTCAATTAAATGCATATAAAAACATATTGGCCATAATCTCCAAAAATAAGGAAATATCTGAAAAGTAAGAGACATATTACAAAACCCACTCATGAATATTAATTAGGTAACGTTTGTCCAGTAGACATAATTTATTTATGAAATGTAGTTAAGCAAAATGAATCTTATAAAATTATTATTTGCCAGAAATGTTTTTACAACCTGATCTCATAAAAATATGTACCTCTGTGCACTTTTTCCTGCAACACCGTTTTTACGTACCTTACTGCACGTTTCGCCCGCAGTTTCAAAGAGAAATGTCCACTGAGTGGCGTTAAAACACTGGTTCAATTCGTAAACCCTGGCACATTTTTATCACGTTAAAATAGGTACGTATTGCTGTGTTTTTATTATGTTGCTTCTGGTACGTATTGCGGCGGTTCAGAATTCAAATATCCGGGGACTGTCGCTAAAAGTTAATGCTCTATTGTGTTGGAAATATGCCCTACACCAAACCCAACCCTAAACCTACCCGATAGTGTTAACAAATGCAAAACTGATATAAAAACACATTTGTTGATGCAACCGTACCATTTGAACTTCCTTAAATGCAGACTTGAACTGCTTTGTCGAACCGTGGTTCCACGGGATTCGAACCGGAGATCCTCGCCTCTCAAGTACGTCTCCGTACTTTGCAATAAAAATTACTATAAAATTATTTTATATATTTTATATAATAATAAAATAATATACTTATTATACTTATTATTATTACTATTATTAAAACGGTTTATTATTATTATTACTATTAATATAATACAATGTAATATTATTAGTTGGAATTTTTATTTATATTATTATTTGTATTTATATTTAATACTATACTAAAATGAATAATATTGTTCAATACAATATAATATGATATGATATGATATGATATGATATAATATAATATGATACCTATGTATTAAATAATAGTTTTTAAAAATAATAACTATTACTAATAATATTACTAGGCTTACTAACTTACTATTGCTGTTTATAGACTGCTAAATATAAGCCTCATCCTTTGTGAATTACCATTTGTAGGGTTTGGCTGTCTTTTCTTTAGGGTGGAGGTATTACAAATATTGCGATTCTCTTGCCTTGTGTGTATAATTGGCTGTGACATCTAAAGTAAGGGTTAGTTAAGGAGCTCTTGCTCTATGTAACTGTATTCTTTGCGTCCTGAAACCGGGGCCTTTTCCCCACACTTCAGCACCTGGTCTGGACAAACACTGAACCTCTGCACTACTGCATCCCCTGAGTATAAAACAGTCTCAAATGACTTCAGTTCATTCATATTGTGAGAGACAAAAGTCCGAGCCATGATTTATATGAGTCTAACATAAAGGTATCAAGTACTTAGTCAAATAGGTAGGGAAATAAGACAAATTAGCAGGAATGTAATACTCCATGAAGAGTTCTCGCATTTGCTTAGTAAGTAAAGTGAGGAGTCTATAACATGGAATGGACCTACCTAAATTTGTATGCTTAAATTTGAAAATAGACAACGTTTTCGACACAATGCAAGCGAGCTGGTTTTGTGGCTCCAAAATGTCTTAGAAATGGAGTACAAATAGGCATTTAATACCACTTTAGGTCTCTGGTCTTATCAAACTCTATTATTTGGGTGTAAAGTTTTGTGTTTTAGAAAGGCATTTCACAATTTACAAGTCATGCATCTAAAACCTAAAGGGTGTGCAGGCCACCAGAATGGGGTGTCACTCGATTAGGACCGAGAAGGGGGCTGGGAGGGTCCTAACTCAACGCCTGTTGGCATGGGAACTGAGACAGAGCCTCACACTACTAGAGTTCCAGCCACAGGGCCACTTCCTGGTCCTCCGATTATCAGTACCTCATCATCTCCCTCCAGTCAGCTCTACAGCTTTGAGTGTGTGCGTGTCGTACCTGATCCTGAGAAGCTGTCTAGAGAGCCGTCTGCTACAGAGGTGGCGATTTCACTGCTGCTCATTGGCTCTGTTTTAACTGCAAGCAGAAGGAAAGCAGAGCATTTGTGACGCTGTACTAGTAAAGCCGGGTGTCAGTCACACTACAGGCAAATGCCTTTCTGCTTGTAAAATCAACAGACTTAATCTTAAAGTAATGCACGGATTTAAAGCATAGCCGAAAGGGTTTTATGTAGCATCAAGGGAAAACAGGCAAAAAAGGTGGAATTTAATGGCAGGAGTAAACTGTGGAATGCATGGACGTGCAGCATAATTGATATGTCAAGGCAATGCATGGTGTATAAAATGTGCTTGACCCAACCGCTCCGAACTACAATGAGGGCAACCGGGAGACGATTTCACAGCGTTTAGACAGGCCCGGATCTTTGAAATGAATCCATCTCTGTCTCAGGAGGGGGTGGGGTGGAGGTTTGCATTTATGAAAACAAAATTCACAATGTGGGTACGGAGTCATGCCCACTGAAATCCCTCATGGATGAGGTAGCCATCAGCTTGTCATGTCGAACATGTTGCAGCTATGCTCTCCCTCAAAGGAACACATGTCGATGGGGAGCGGTTTGAATACGTCCCAACGCTCCCCCCACCCCTCCTTCTCGAAGGGATACGGGAAAATAGTGGCACGGCACATGCAGAAACTAGTGCAGTCAAGTCTTATCACATACCACACATAACCATAAAACCGTCCTGCAGAACATCAAATAAAAAGCTAAACGCACATTACACGTGCCCACAGCTTTACCATTCATTGACGGTCTGGAATCATAGCCAAAAAGTCTCAAACCATGCTTTCAACAGATTCACCATAACACAACACAGAATGCCAAACAAGTGTCCAAATGAAAGGCACAATAGTTGAAGAGATGTGAGCACATCAAATTGGCTTTTCACATTTGTGAATATAATCAGATGGAATTGTTAGGATTGCCTCAGGCTGAAATGACTATATAACGTGTGTCATTTCACATATGACGCCAAGTATTGTCCTTTCATTGTTTCGCCAGAACTGCACAAACCTGCAGCGGACTGTGAACTAGAACTTAACAACCAGTCAGCTGTGGTAAGCATAGTGATGTTATCACCTATAGGGAGAAAGAACGGGACAGGACACATGACAATCTGCACTGTGACAGGTTGGAGCTTATCACTACAGAAATGGAAGAAAACCACAGTCAAGATTACATAATGTAAACTACTTCAGAGATGATTCAAATTCTTATGGGCTGTAACATTATCCGTGAAAACACACGCATTAAGTCATTTTTAAAATGTATTCATGTAGCGATAAAGTGCACTGATGCAAAAATGATGCATAAATGTATAATTAAAATATTGTAGCAACAAAATTGAGGTCAGGGAAACAGATACTCCAAATTCATGTATATTTAAATTTTATTTTATAAAAAAAAGTTGACTTGATTACAATAGCCAAAATGAAGTATATGAATACCCATGATATGACAAGCACATCACACGATGTTTAACACGTATTCAACTTTTCATAAGTTAACAGCACATAAATGGGAATTATTAATATTCAGTAATTAAGGTATACGGCCCGCCAGAGGCTGAGGAGACGTACCTTCAGTGCCATTTGGTGTCATGGAATTGTTATTTATATGTGAGTTGTCGATGTTGGGACCGTTTGGGGACTCACTGCTTCCACTTACTCGGCTGTGTGGACTAGCTAGATCCTGCATTTCCATAGACCTGAGAGGAAGAGACACACAGACGGTCACATGATATTGAATGACATGCACACACATTCAAACTAACACGTACTTCAAGATCTGAAATGTGAGTGATCGTTCAAAATAAATATTAATTACATTAACAATCAACAATAAAAAATTATTACAATTTGTATGTGTATTATAACAGATGTATATTTAAAACCCCAATATTGACATTTTTCTGTAGCTTAAATAGAATTTTAGATACATGTAATACCTATCCATTAACTTTACAAACAGCATAAAATTACAGAATAACAGCAAAACCATAATAACAATAATAATTTCTTAATTTTATATTGTTATTATTATTTAAAAACAACATTAATTAACTAAAAGTATTTAAATAATTGATTCAAAATGTGGCTTTCTCAAAACCAAACAACAAATAAGAACATTCCAGCAGCTCTCCAGAGAAATCCGCTTAACAAGGGCATACCCTTGAGGCACATCAAATGACATTTGACACAAATTTAACAATTAATGAGACATCTGATGATTGATTGACTTTCTCATATTAACCATTAAAAATTAACCACCACTAGCCCCGCAGAGCACGCTGCAATTTTCATACGTTCATTTCCCCCAGCGGTCTCTGATCTGAAGCAGCAATAGCCGGGGCTGTGTGAGAGAGAGATGTGTGATTGCGAGGCCTCAAACCTCAACGAGAGCGACTGAAGAGTTCACTAAAGCATGCTGTTTGCTCTGGCGAGCGTCTTAATTGTTTCTTTGTTTATGTACCGAGGGCCACGCCACTGAAAACATTATTCTGCTGGCTCCATCGCACACTCGCGGGATTTTATTATGCATAGCAAATGGAAGGTCAGGCCAGTGGGCGTCTGCGGTCGGATGTATGTTACGGGTGTTTGTATGTGATGTGAACGCGGCCGCAAAACTAAAACAAACATCAGTCTCCAGAAAAGCATTATTGCGCTAATTGCGCCAAAAACACGATGCCTTGCGTGCCGCTCTGCCAGAATCAATTAGGAATGGTCGTGTCACTGCTATCAACAAACATTTGGATTTTTATGAATAACAAAGAGGAGGAAATAAGAAACGTTTTATCAGCGTGGATTATCATACCTCTTTTTAGCCGTCGTTCTTGATCAGCTATAAAATATCCGTTACAGATGGTCGCAGTTAAAATGGGAAAAATAATCCATGCCATAGAGATGTTAAAACTCGACTTGCTTTTCAAACAACGTCTGTTTCCGACACAAAGCATATATGTCAAATATTTTCCTTCTCTAAAACCTCTAACTCTCTCTGTCTTGATTCTTTCACACTTCCAGCAGTTTACAAAAATGTCCAGACACCTTCTCAAGAAGTCCTAAGCGTTTCAGAACTCAACTTTGCTAAACAAGTGGCTGCTTTTCAGTGATGCTGCTGGCAAATCAGTTCTCTTTTACCTGAAGCTGGACGGACATCAAGCATCTATGTCAAATAGTGTTTTTTCCCTCTCTTTCTTTCTTTGTTTCTTTCTCCCTATCCCTTTTTCCACCTGCCAGGACCCTAAAAACAATATCACTCCTTGTTATTTCAGCTCGATGTCTCTGTGAAGAGCCATCCGTGACACAATAGACGTTGTCTGAGAAAACATTTTTGTTATTCTCACGCAGAATGGGAAGAGAGGAGTCGGTGGAACAGAGAGGCACATTGTCTATAGGCTCAACCCCTCCACCGTTGTTTCCTCCTTCCAGGTCTTCCCTCCTCCCTGCCGAATGATGGTAAGGTGATTCATCATTGGTCTACGACAGCTGCAAACTGGATTAGTCCTCCCCCAATCAACATGCAAAGCGGCTTAGCCAAGGTAAGCAGGAAAGGGAGGGGTGGGAGAGAGATGGGACTTTGTTGAACAGAAGCTAGTCAAGCATGACACCTCTAGCATCTTTCATCTGCAATTGACACTATCTGAAATTTATCTACAATCCCTCTCCAGGTGCACTGACAGTTCCTAATGATGGTCAGGGGGATGATTGGGATTTTGCCTGAGGGTTTTGGGGGATAAATAGATAGTACTAGGTGCATCTTCTGTGATAAGTCAGAGTTGAACGTTTTGGATGTATCTTGTATAATAAGTCGGAGTTGAACGTATTGTGTTGAACGTATCTTGTACTGTTGGAGTGTAACCTATAGGGCCACATATGTTTTCTATGATACTTCAAATGCTGCTATTACTCTTTTTAGTTGACAATTACGTTCTGCCGTCCACCTCTCCGCTAATACCTGCGGCACTATTACCCAATATCAGACCGGATTCTCCTTCAATCTTCTTTCTCTTGACCCCGTCTAGTCACATTAACACAGTTTTGCACTCTAAAGTCGTTCCTTACATCATCCGAAGCTTGGGAACAATGCTTTGACTTTCTATAAAAAGTCCAACACAAGCTGTTTCACTGCAAGAAATGGGAGATGAAGAAGGAGGGACTCTGTACAGAGAAATAAAGACCTTGCTTCGGCCTGCATTCAGCACCCTGAGCTTACGAGGCATTATGCATGCCGTCTCACGGCAAAGCCCCTCTTCCAGCAGGTGATTTTCACCAGGTGAACGGGGAAGGGAGGGGCCCTTGTGCTGTACTGCTAAATATTTATTGTTTAAACAAAAAAAGGAGTGCATTCAGCATCTTTGATGTACGCTTGAATTCAACCTTTGAAGCTCTCGGGAACAAAGACCTGCGTTGGAAGTGTCATCAAGAAAGCCAAACATGCTTCACTCACGACTGTTTGCACGGCTTTTTGTCTCGCTTTGCTTATTTCAAGCGCTGTGTTTCCATCGGCAAACACTGCCGGGCTTTTAACATTGATGATTATAGAGTACGCGGGCTGTCTGAGCCGCTCCGATACGGATGAGATTCACCTGAATACTTCAATTCTGATGTAATAACAAGCAAGACTGAAATATTTGGTGGTATTTATTATACTGTGGATTTTTTTTGTCAATTATGTGAGGTGTACATTTACATTCTGGGGATTGTAAGCAAATTATATTTTTCAAAATCAAAAAATGTATAATGAAACCTTAGCGTTTATTCGCTTTCCAGCCATGGTTTACAAGATTGTAATTTTATAGGGCAAGACATGCATGTCTCTTTTTGAATTTCATAGATTATGCAAAACATGTGTTGTGGGTTACTAGTTTTGAAAAACAACGCTTTAATCAAAATAACTTTAAAACAACTAATCCCAATTTAAGCTGGTCAGCTGAATCCACATGGTGGCCCAGGAAAAATAAATCCACTTGCAAAGAATGTCGATGTAGACAACAATTGAAGACAGATGTGACTAGTATTAGACACAGTTTACAAAATGCTACACTTCACTGGACTCTATGAGCATAGAGCAAAGAAATGTGTACCACCAACAAAACACTGATTACATAAAAAAATTTTTTTTTCCCTGTAACTGAATTATGGATATAAAATTATGAATGTACTAAAATACTAATATATTATTATAAAATGTTTTTAAATACTGATACATGAGGCCCATAAATATATATATCAGTTATCAAATCAAAGGAGGACACATAATAAAGTGGAAACACACACTTGGACACATACCCATAAAAATCAGTTTGGTTTTTAATTTCTAATTAATTAAACAGACAATTTAAACTTTAAACATTTTGTGTAATTATAATCTTAATTCCGAACACGCGCTGTAGGCAATTTGTCTCTTCCATTTTGTTCAATCTGACATGGAGCTCAAGCGACGGACAGCGCAGCTACATTAAATCTGTTAATTCTGATCTCTTCAAGCTGCTAAATTATTTCCAGAAGTCCATCCGCTTTGAGTGTCCATCAGAGAAGATTTAAGGTACACATCTGATCAAATTCGCCCCACCGCAGTGTCACAGAAAAGAAAAGGAAAAAAAAGCGATCACACTGCAAACACGTAAATTGTTATTTTAAATAAAAAATTACATTTTAATGCATTTTTTTTCTCTGCCTTTCATTTCACATAGCAAAAACACTGCTTTGCAAGTTAATTTAAATTTAAAAAGAAAACAAAATAAAACAGATTTTTATTGTTAGTCATTTGCATTTAATTTATTTTTCCTCTATTTTCTTTTATTCACTGTACCAAAATGTGCATCTACATAAACATACTAAAAGCACAAAAAAAAAGACACTCAGGTTTAGCTCATCCTCTGCTCCTATGCTTAAGTAAACAAACTCCTTGATTACATGTAAACAAACACAAAGGAATTGTGGATGTAGAAGAGCCGTGATCAATTGAGCTTCTCAGCCTTATTTCCTGCTCCCTGAGCGACGTTTTCCTGAGACCAACAGTGGCATGTTAACAAAATAACACTCTACTGTATTTAGTAAACAACTAATCGCCACAAACCGTTTCCGCTGTCTCTGTCTCATAAACAGTGGAGCGCAGCAGTTTCAATTAACCCTGTGTCTTTCACCGTGCACCGTTTCCAGCTCGGCCGCACACATACGGAAAGCATTGGGCCTTCGGCAAACAACGGCACATCGTGGGGCTAAACGCACGGGGGCTTATCGGAGAGAGCTTAATGCAGTCGAACTTATGCCTTATTAAAACAAATACAGTATGTAAACAGTCCAAATCAAGCAGCCCATTATGAGGTAATTAGATAAGCGGGGTTATTGTGCGAAAGCAACACAGAGAGGGCAGCTGGAGGCAACACTGTATTAACACACTCTGGAAAAAACAACGCGAGCCGGGAAACAGCTGCCGTGGGATGACATTTCAATTATTTTTAAAGCATATTTAAAAAGCAATTTCCAGTGTTCTTTACTAAATTACTGCACAAAAGTCAAAACTACAAGATGGAAGTGAGAAGAATATTATCAGTTTTTTATAAGTCCTGCATAATTACGCATTTAACTGGACAACACAAAATGCTAAATTCTCATTTCTCTTTATCCTCGGATAGAAAACAACTCTTTCAAAAATGTACGGGTGTCTTGGTTTTGGTGGCCGCCTGCCGATGTCTTGCAAGACACCAATCTGCCTGTCTGTCTACCCTAAAGCATTCCGGCCTGCAGCAGATGGCATTGGATGTCAACTGCTAAAACTGAACTGGTTTTGTTTATTCTGCCAGCTGAATAGAATCTTGGGTTTTACTTGCTGGATGGAAAATAGAAACTTATTATCTTGGACTCAAAATGGGGTCATTATTTACAATGCAGTCTCTCATTTCAGTGCCTTGTACACCTGTTTTAAAGTATCAAAAAAGATAGTCTTCACCTGAGGGCTGAGGAGACGCAAAAAGGTGAATTTGAAACGGCTGAAGGTGTGAATCAGGTGCGTGAGCTCTCAGGTGAAAGAGAGAGTCACTGGGGATTTAAATTTGAGTGGCAAACAGTGACATGATGCTTTTATTGTGGTCTTAAAGTCTTAAAACTCTTTAAGCTGTTGCTGTATTTTTTAAGGAACTATTTGTTCAAATAGACTGTGTGTATTTAATTAACGTGAACTCAAAACACTATACAAAATGTAACTTTTTAAAAAAAAAGGTGAAATAATTTATACGTATAAATAGAAATTAGCTTTTTATGAACTTTAATATGTTTTGAAAATAATCTGTTAAAATATGCTACAGCAATATTAATATTTGTACCTATTGCAAACTGCGTTACTGATATAAGTGTAAAACCAATAGTTTTATTTTTTTATATTTTAGTATTTTATTAAATATATTAAAGTAAAATGAAACTACTGAGGATTTAACAGTACATTAAGTGTAGAGTTTGAAAAAATAAATAAATAAAATTTGTTGAGAGATAACTTATTTGCTGGAATAATTTGTTGCCGGTTTTAAAGGACTACAATTTCGTCATTAAGAAAACTGACTGGCGAACATAAAAATATCAGATGGCGTTTTCAAAAACATTTGAATTTAATCTAGATCTTGATTATGTGAAGTTAGAAGACACAGCTGCAAATAACCCATGTAACTCTAAAAAATACATAAAAAGTTCAACACAGGATGTGTAAAATAATAAAAGTAGAAGTAAAGACTGCTAAAAGATAACCAAAAATAGTACTCACTACAATTATGGTAGAATCCTTGCACTTTTTCTTTTATTCCTCCTTTTTTGCAATCTTCCGTTGAGTGTCTGTCCGTTCCAGAACAAAAGAAGAACTTAAAAAAAAAAAAAGAAAATAAACTTCTCTTAGAGTTGACTTTAAACGCGCAGATTAGCGATAAAAGACAACTTTTTTCTTTTTCATTTTAAGGGTGAAAAGTCATGGAGCCCCGTACTAGATCTCAAGAGACAGACTCCGAGCAAGAACGAGAGTTGTCCGATTACTGCTGCAGGCAGTGACTAGCTAGTGTCTGAGGAAGAGAAAAAAAAAAGAGTGAAAGAGAGAGAGCCGGTTGAGAGAGACAGAGAGGGAGAGAGCGAGAGAGAGGGAGGGAGATGCAGTTTGAAAGCGCAGAAAGTTGCTCGCTTCTCTCTCTCACAGGAAGACTTTAGTTTGGAGGAGGCACTGGGGAGTTTTCTTCACACCAGTCCTCCATATGTCATTCACTCACAGCTTTAAGCAATATAGCCTTCCTCTAGATTGTATCAGTGATCCTAAGACAACGAAACGGCAGATCCTGCATGCATCTCTGCTAGTCTGCTGGATCCTGTGGCTCTGCACACACACAGCCCCAGGGCACAACTTTTTTTCTCTTTCAATTTCTCTCTCTCTCTCCAGTGTATTTTTATTTTCTTCTTCCCACAAACCGGTTCTTTTTTTTTTTTTGTGGCTGATTCTCTCTGGTTTGCCCCTGACAAAAGGATCCTAGTAGGCATGCATTAAGTAAATATAGTTTGTAAATGATGGAGTTTTTGGAGCAAACTGGCTCGTCCGATCAGCATTATAGTGGAAGCCCTCCATCAACAAGTAGACTGTTCACTGTTGTTTGCAAGGTAATGACTGTCGTCTGTCTGCTCCAGCTTATTATTTCATTTGTTTCCAAAGTTTACCTTCACTGCTCCCTGACAATGGAATACTAACAAATGCAATCTATTACATAAAGAAATGCATTCCTTTTGTGAATGTGTTGTGAATCTCAATATAACATTTATGCATATATAAATGTACATTTAAATGAAGCTAATGAACATACAGTATATAGACATTTATTAAAATATAATATGCAATTTCATTCAATTTTAATTTTTTTTATCTAGCTAGATAGATATGAAAATATATATTTTATATGTGTACCAATATATACAGTGGGTACGGAAAGTATTCAGACCCCCTTAAATTTTTCACTCTTTGTTATATTGCAGCCATTTGCTAAAATCATTTAAGTAAATTTTTTTTCCTCATTAATGTACACACAGCACCCCATATTGACAGAAAAACACAGAATTGTTGACATCTTTGCAGATTTATTAAAAAAGAAAAACTGAAAAATGCTCAGTATTTAGTAGAAGCACCCATTTGATCTAATACAGCCATGAGTCTTTTTGGGAAAAATGCAACAAGTTTTTCACACCTGGAATTGGGGATCCTCTGCCATTCCTCCTTGCAAATCCTCTCCAGTTCTGTCAGGTTGGACGGTAAACGTTGGTGGACAGCCATTTTTAGGTCTCTCCAGAGATGCTCAATTGGGTTTAAGTCAGGGATCTGGCTGGGCCATTCAAGAACAGTCACAGAGTTGTTGTGAAGCCACTCCTTCGTTATTTTAGCTGTGTGCTTAGGGTCATTGTCTTGTTGGAAGGTAAACCTTAGTTCCAGTCTGAGGTCCTGAGCACTCTGGAGAAGGTTTTCGCCCAGGATATCCCTGTACTTGGCCGCATTCATCTTTCCCTCGATTGCAACCAGTCGTCCTGTCCCTGCAGCTGAAAAACACCCCCACAGCATGATGCTGCCACCACCATGCTTCACTGTTGGGACTGTATTGGACAGGTGATGAGCAGTGCCTGGTTTTCTCCACACATACCTCTTAGAATTAAGGCCAAAAAGTTCTATCTTGGTCTCATCAGACCAGAGAATCTTATTTCTCACCATCTTGGAGTCCTTCAGGTGTTTTTTAGCAAACTCCATGCGGGTTTTCATGTGTCTTGCACTGAGGAGAGGCTTCCGTCGGGCCACTCTGCCATAAAGCCCTGACTGGTGGAGGGCTGCAGTGATGGTTGACTTTCTACAACTTTCTCCCATCTCCTGGCTGCATCTCTGGAGCTCAGCCACAGTGATCTTTGGGTTCTTCTTTATCTCTCTCACCAAGGCTCTTCTCCCCCGATAGCTCAGTTTGGCCGGATGGCCAGCTCTAGGAAGGGTTCTGGTTGTCCCAAACGTCTTCCATTTAAGGATTATGGAGGCCACTGTGCTCTTAGGAACCTTAAGTGCAGCAGAAATTTTTTTGTAACCTTGGTCAGATCTGTGCCTTGCCACAATTCTGTCTCTGAGCTCTTCAGGCAGTTCCTTTGACCTCATGATTCTCATTTGCTCTGACATGCACTGTGAGCTGTAAGGTCTTATATGGACAGGTGTGTGGCTTTCCTAATCAGGTCCAATCAGTATAATCAAACACAGTTGGACTCAAATGAAGGTGTAGAACCATCTCAAGGATGATCAGAAGAAATGGACAGCACGTGAGTTAAATATATGAGTGTCACAGCAAAGGGTCTGAATAGTTAGGACCATGTGATATTTCAGTTTTTCTTTTTTAATAAATCTGCAAAAATGTCAACAATTCTGTGTTTTTCTGTCAATATAGGGTGCTGTGTGTACATTAATGAGGAAAAAAAATTAACTTAAATGATTTTAGCAAATGGCTGCAATATAACAAAGAGTGAAAAATTTAAGGGGGTCTGAATACTTTCCGTACCCACTGTATGTGTAGCATGTTTCTATCTATCTATCTATCTATCTATCTACCCATCTATCTATCTATCAATTGAAACACAATTGTGTTTATAATGTTACATTTTATGCACATAGCTTAGTTACATTAAAATTATAATGATCTTAATTTTAATATAACTAAGCTATGTGCATAAAATGTATATAAAATAAAAAAATATACAAAAATATAAGTAATTATATAAAGAAAATCACACACACACACACACACACACACACACACACACACACACACACACACATGTGTAAAGAGGATTTCTATTAAATAATATTTATATAAAATCTAAATCTAATAAAGAAATACATAATTCAGTAGTTTTATTTTTTTTGTTTACCTGTAGAATTATGGATGAAAGTTTACATTTTCAAAGGGATATACAACATAGCAATGATAATAATATAATTGTTAAAGTAATGTATCAATAAACAATAATTGTCTAAACTACATCTATAATGAACAAATGCAGCAGTGCCTTATTTTATATACCTGTATATATACTGTATAGGCCTTCTTAAAAAATGGTCTTTGCAAGTTATTGGTAAAAACCTAAAAATTAATTACAAGGTGGCTAAAAAGACAAACACACACTCACAAGCTCACTCACACACCTTGATGATGCTGGTGTGTCGCAATGAAATGGACTCGGCAGCCATATATGGGACAGCAGGTCAAACCTCTGCCGTCCTACTCAGTATAAATAGACCCGAGCTTGACTTTTCCTCATCTAGATGTGGTGCGCAACTAAAGCAGCGGTCATGCAAATGCACAGGCGTTTACACTACAGATGTGCCTACAGGTAAAAGCCGGCGTTTCACATTTCAGCCTGAGAAAATTAAATATATTGCATTTTGAAGAGGCTCTTGATAACTCAATAGACTAATAAATGCAGAGGGGATCTCAAGTAACTATTCGCCGTAGCTGAGGGGTTTATATGCCAATCGAGTTATAACCCCCTCTCTCACACATAAAATTAACTTTCAATGTAATTTTGCAGATATTTTAAAATTGCACAGCATAATTATCCCAAGTTGTTTATGTCTCCCAAGCAATTTCCCCTAAGCAAAGGCTTCAACGTTAGTGGAAAGGTATGTTTCACATTACTGTACCATTTAACTATAAATAGCACAATATCAGGTAAAAGATCTCTCATAGTATTCAATAAAACTGAGATTAAGATTCAGAGAGATATATTGACTCACTAACATGAAAGGCCATAAATAACAAAACTAAATTCATATCTTGGGAAAATAATAAGTTGCTAGTTTGGAAGTATAAATAAAGTTCTGATAACATGGTTTATGTTGTGTAATACTGTTGTGTGAGAGTATTCAATTATATATAGTGCTGAACTGCAAATTATGCATTTTGACATTAAATAAATAATTAAATACATTTTCAGCTGTTCATTCTATATATATATATATATATATATATATATATATATATATATAAAAACAAGCACAAGTATATATTTATGTTGTGTGTGTTGATACTACATCTGAGAGTCTAAATCTAGGCTTTAACAGCCTTATTTTTCCGCTAGACTTAAACACTTAGCAAACGGCCCCTTAGAATTAGACAATCAAGCTCGCAATGTTCCTATTATGTGCCCGTGATGGACTTACAAAGATGCATTGATAGTCCTAGACTGACATCAGTGCTAAAACATTACTTGCCGAAAACTATATCAAGCTAGAAATATGAGAAGTGGGTAAGATTAAAAGTGAAGCCATTCTTTATTAAGGATTATGTTGATGGGACCCTGCAGTCTTACTGGGAGGCTGCAGAGATGCCTGCTTGAAATGTAGACACATGGGGGGGATCTACTGTGTCCTCCATTGCACCGGGGGTTATCAAGAAATTATGTCACAAATGCATAATTATGTGATGATTCATGCATTGCCCACAGCTGAGCCACTAAAAGCAACTGGCTGAAGTTGTGCTACTAATTACTCACTAAAGTAATTCAGCTGAAAGACAATGAATGGATACCCTGATGGAATGTCATTATTGTTATTGTATAGCACAATTATGCTTCTTCAAACTAGGGGGCAATTTCTGCTGTGAGAAAACAGAGAAAATCAACAGTCATTGTGATGCTAATAATGCTAATGCTAACCAACACAACAACACGGGTTGTTTGCAATCTGCTAAGAAAGTGTTTACACAATGTCACACTTCGAGGAGATCGAGTTGCTATTTCTGCCGGTCTCCCAGTACATAAAACTCTAAAGTTCCCCCAAGATACAAAACCTGAACTTCAGTCTTGTCTAATAAAAATAACTTTTTACACATTTTACATAACATGTACATACTAACGAGAGGAAAAAATCTTTTTGGCCTCTAAATTCATGTCCCTGACAGGTAGAGGATGGGAGCGTTGGCTCTATGGTGATTTTACCAAGCTGTCACACAGTTGATATTGGATATTTACTTCATTCTTTGAACGACT